AGAATAAATACATAAATATTTATCGTAAAAATGATAATGAATTGGAGAAAACAAATAATAATAATAAATAAATATAAAAAAATATAATTATTTGTTTTTCTTTTTTAGGCAATGAATTTAAAGTGAGCACGCGTATGCAACTTATCATATTAATAAAAAGCAAAGTATATAAATAATATATAATAAATAATCAATATTAATATAAATACAAATGCACAAAATATTTATATAATTCCAGGGATCAAAATCTTGGTTGTACTACTATCAAATGAGGTCCTCAAATTTTATTAACTGACTGATTATCGAAATCTTTTTTTTTTTGTTAGTCCAAAAACATGGCAATTTTTTCTTTCCACTCACGTTCAAGGACTAGTTTTTCATTAGCTAGACGAGGCCGGAAAACCATCTCTGTCTGGGTCACATAATGACATGGTTCCTTAAGTTATTATTCAAGCATTTTGTTTCTCATTAAAGGTCACTTCAAATGATGTGTAGGTTCGTATAGACGTTCTCACCAGTAATGGCAACTTTTCTCATCTAGAAACTGCTAAAGCCTTTTACAACATTGTCTAAAAAAAGGATTACATTTGGAGAGTTTTGTGTTTATTTTTTGGCCTTAATTAAATTGTGATTAGCGGTGGCAAAAACAACAATAAGTGAACCAGGGTCTATCTAAAAGAATGAAAGGGACGGTCGATAGCAGTAGCATTATTTTAATAGCTCTACGACCTAAGGATCAATCATGTCTTTCATTTTCCCAACGACGAGAAAAAATGGTTCTTTTTCACATAATTACACTCTGTATGGTAAACTTTTATTTTGGACTTTATTCATTCATCAAGAGACAATTTTAGAGTATCTGACAAATATGACACTATACATTCATTAGAAAAACTAGTAGTAAATATTCTATGTATATTGTAAAGAAGATTGACGTGAAATAAGCAAATAGTTAATGTAGCGTAGAATATTACATATAGATCATTATTCCCTGAAAGGAAAAATAGGCTGAATTACTGATATCTAAAATATTTTATATAACGATTATTTTGATGACAAAAATGAACAAAGTGTAAACATATTTATAGTTAGCGTGGGAAACAATATTACATTCGTTCATTATATAATTCAAATCCATTACATCGATTAGTCCTTCACGAGAAACAATTATTTGCAGTAACATCAAGGTTCGATTAAATAATCTGTGATAATATAACAGTTATATATATATATATATATAAATTTACAATGCAATCATGACTAATGATACATGCACAAACAAAAATGGAGAGCTACAAGAAAACGAGTCCGTTAGATGTAATTAAATATTTTTTTGCAAAATTCAGAATATATTATTAATAGTAACATTGATGTATGAAATTCTCCAATGCAAGGTTTTGGAATCATAATATAAAATCCTAAAGGTTTCAAATTGTCTTCAACGAATATAGAATCCAATTCCACTACTCTGGTCTTGGTCGAAGGTAGTGTTCCATGTCGCAATCCAAAAAAGGAAACAAAATGGTTGTAAAGGTGGTTGCAATCATTTTTATATGACGCAAAGATGGTAGCAACCATCATCAAAAGTTGCAGCCTGTATCCTTAGACCAGACTTGGCTGTTATCATAGAGCATTAATTGTTGGCAAGAGTTGGTTAGTATCAGAAAAGGAGAGAATTTAGGAAAATAATTAATTAATAAACACTATTTTATGACTTTCCTCTTAACATCAGAGCACACAAAATCAATTTCAGAGTCCCCAACCCCATCCTACCATCTTTACCCCTGAGGCAGGATTGTTGCAGTCAACTTTTCAGTTAGCATGTCAGCAGCCTTCTCTGGTCAGGAGAAGATTAGATAGGATTCACAAAAGAATCCTTGAAATTGATGCAAGCTCAATAGATTCCAGAGCTATACTACCCCCGGGATTTAATTGCATCATTGTATAATTGGGGGATGAGGTCAAATTAGCCTTATGTACATGAGGAATGTGAGAGAATGACTGTAATGCGCTCATAGTAGCATTTGTGTTTTGATGTTTTAAAGTGTCCAATAATCAAATGTTGCATATTGAAATGTTTCCTTTCCTTCCTCATCTTTATCATATTGCCTTATCATCTTTTTATAATTGTAATATTAATATCAGTGATGATTACACAAAAACAAAAACAATACAAGTCCTACTTCAACAGTTTGATTTTGCAATAATATTTATACAAAATAAAAGATACATGTATTAATATTTATAAAAAAAATCAATTAAAAAAAAAAAAAATCAATACAATGCAACAAAAAATTGTGTATCTCTCACCATCAATAAAAAACGCGTTGTCTTCTTCAGAACAAGCCATTCCAATCAGCAACGTTTATGCTTTCCCATTTATCTGGAAAATTCACATGACAAAAGATCTGCAATATAAGGGAAATTTTCAAATTTTTATTTTGTTTCAATTCGTCTATTTTTGATATTAACTTTTTTGTGTAACACATCATTTTAGGGCTAAACATAGTAAATTCGGTAACTTGTGCAACTTTGAAGCTCAAATTCTCCACAACAACATGACATATAAATGAGATGAAATCATGATTTTGTAGAGGCTTCAAATACACGATTTATTTTGGGGTATTGCATTTCCATTTTTGGAGAATTTGAAAATCTACACATCATATGTGACATGTGTTGATCAAATCTCTTTATCTTTTATTCAAAAAATATCAACATGTCTTTTTCTAAAAATAAAAGAAAATTCAAAAGTTCCATAATAGATCTAAATGTGTAAGTGTTATTTATTTGAAAAGAATGATGATGGTTACAATTGCCACCACTTGCCGCTCTAGTTCTTTTAAAAAAAAGAAATTAAATTATTCAAGAAAGGAATTTAATCAATGATATTCAGAAACAAGAAATAATAAATGTCAGGAATGGTACTATCCGAAGTGTAGCAACCCTACATGGTGTTGAAGATT